GGGGGGGGGGGGTGAACATATGCCGGTAGTGTACAAAGCAATTGTGCAATTGTGTGTCGTATAGCCGTGGCGACTCGGGCTTACATTGCATTACCCTCAGCTGAGGGTAATGCAATGTAAGCCCGAATCAAGAGTCGCCACGGCTATGTATCGTAGAGCTACAGAAACGGGGATGGGCGCCGCCTCATAAACCATATGGTTTAAGATCATGATAATATTATTAACAGATTCCAAACTGAGGGAAAATCTATTTTTTACTCATAAACAAGAAAGTTTTCCATTTTATGAAAATGCAGCCTTTCTGAGCTATTATTTGCACTTTTGGGAAACTCGAATTCAAGAGTTTATGACTTAGAAAGGATATATATCCTCAACCAAAGCTGGGATCATTCAGGGCATTTGAGGATATATACTTCGCTTCAAGAACAGTTGAGGAAATGTCCTCTCTATGAAAACAAAGCAAGGGGGGTCATTTTCTCTCTAGGAACAGTTGAGGATATATCCTCTCTTTGTAAACAAGGGTCATATCCTCTTAAAGAACGGTGAGGATATATTCTATCTCTGATAACAAGGGGACATATCCACTTTCAAGAACAGTTGAGGATATATCCTCTCTAAAAACGGGGCCGGGGGGGGGGGGTATATCCGCTTCCTGAAAGAAAGTAGAGGATATATCCTCTTTCTGAAAGAAATGGGAGGATTTGAAGGCTGTCATTGTTTGTTTACGACCTCATGAATCTTGATTTCCCCGTATAGGGTGTACCCCCGGATTTCAGAAGGGTGCGTCGCCTTCACCGTGCGCGTCATCCACTCACAGGAACTGATGATGTCAGCAATTCAAGTGTACGCACGAGAGAGTGACATGGCGGCGACTGCGCATCTCATCGGCCCCGACACACTGCCCACCAGACAACAGGTCTTTTTTAGAATTTAAAAAAAAATTTTGAATTAAAATTCAAAAAAGATTTAAATTTTTTAAGATTCTAAGTTTTATCATTTAATCTAATTTTAATTCTTAATCGTTTAGATTTTCAAATGTCTAAATTTTTTAAATTGAAATTACTTTTTTATGGGCTAACGGAACGCATTGAAGATAACGTTAAATCTTATTACTAGGAAAGAACAATCAAATGAATGTAAACTGTATGTCTAGATGGTTTACTCTATTGAATAAAGTAAAGAAAATTTTTGGTGTCAAAAGTGTTAAAAATGTAATACAAAATTAAATATAACGTTCTATGTCTTTAAAGTAAACAAGAAAACTGGTAAAAATCTATCCAGTTTCTTGTGTATCTCATTACCTGGATGTGTCTTTGTAATAGCTGCAGATCCAACCAACATCTCTGAGACGAATTGTATGCAATTCGTGTAATCTCCAAGCAGATCCTATATATATGCAAGGCTGTAACAATAGCAAAGGTGTGACCATTAACCACCAAAGCCTTGGCCAAAGGAGTGACCATTAACCACCAAAAGCCTTGGCCAAAGGAGTGACCATTAACCACCAAAGCTTTGGCCAAAGGAGTGACCATTAACCACCAAAGCTTTGGCCAAAGGAGTGACCATTAACCACCAAAGCCTTGGCCAAAGGAGTGACCATTAACCACCAAAGCCTTGGCCAAAGGAGTGACCATTAACCACCAAAGTCTTGGCCAAAGAAGTGACCATTAGCTCCTTTGGTCGAAGGTTACAGCCTTGCCACCATAGGATCTGCCTGATTTGTGTACACCATATACTACAGGTTACAGATGAGGGAGCCTACTGCACATTAGACCACTCGTCAGGGGAACGTGCCATTCTCATCAAGGGGAAGTCAGACTGGGGCATCTGCGTGGGGAAGTGGGAGGGTTTCCGGCCCGGCGTGCCCGGCAAGCCCGGAGTACCGTCCATCGACGGCCGCCCGCCCATCAAGGGCGTGAAGGGTATCCCCATGAACCCCGGACATTTGAAGGTAAAATCTACATCTTATCCGTTACGTCTTGTAAAGACAAGAAATGCTTTAAAGAAAAGCTGGCTGCCAATAAGGAATTATTGGAAATAGCTGATTGGGTGGCATGTGATGACGATGTGTTACTGTGACTACTTAAATGCTAATAAGACTGGACTTGAAAGTACAACACGTTTTTGCTCTAAACAAAGTCAAAGTCCTGGACCAGACGACTGTCACTATGGTAACTGGTGCTGTAGCAGTCACCCTGTAGTGTTGGGTCACTTTATGTAGCAGGATAGAGCTAGAGGGACCGCTCACCCTATGTTATATATGGATGTGTTTGAGTGACAATAAACAGAGCAGTATTTTGGTAAGCTGGAACATTAAACATTATGCATTTGCTTTGCAAATGTTACCTTTGTAGTTCATTTAACGTCTGCTGAAAATGTGTACATGTTTCTAGCGCCTTCGTGTTGTACTGAACACCGGTACCACATGTACCGTTTGTATCGGCACAGGTTGGTTTCTACAGCCTGCAGGGGAAGCAGGGCTGGCAGCTGGCCGTACGGAGAGACAAGGGCATGACGTTCCAGATGGACTGCGTCAGCGTCAACATCACCAACGGCAAGATTGTCATCCCCGCACACGTACGTCACACAATCATAGTTACGGAATGGTGTTCTGACCCCTTTTTCTCCATTATTTGTAACATTATATGTAGCAGATATTATTTTACCTACCAATTTCTCGTTGCAATTGTCCAAGTCATTAATGTACGTCAGGAATGTCGCGTTTCTGTTTGTAGAATGCTGCGTTGTATTTCTACATTGTAAATCCACAAACCCCATAGTGGCATTACTTTTGGCAACGCCACACGGGCGGAGCTGGTTATAGGAGGAGCACTGTCATGCACATCGATACTCCATGAAAACGGTTGGCTGAAAACTACAGATAGACAGATAAAACATAAAAAATGATAGTTCTGTAAACGAAAATCATGAAACGTTCCTGTCTCGTTCTTCAGGTGGAACACGTCCCAGAGGCGATAGCCCTCGCCTTTGCTATCTCGGTGTTGTGGGTGCTCTGCAATCCCAAGTCTATCCGCCAGACACCACAGGTGCAACAGCACCACGTGCACCATTCCTGTAACCAGCCACACCCTCAACAACAACAACAACAACAACAACAACAGAAGCACCAGAGCAACGCGCACAGATCAGGTGATCAGGACCAACGCTCTACAAAGTGGGGGTAAAAAAAAATTCTTCTCGATTCAGCCACATTTCGTTGGAACTGCAGTCATTTGTCAGTTTGTTCAAGAAGGATTCAATACTTTGGGACGGAAGTATTGTTTTGGGTGGCGCTGGTTTAGGTTGTTAAAGAGTGGGAGGTGGTTTGGGCTATAGATTTATAGATAGGTCATGGTTGAAGGAGACCCAGCATGTGTTGTGTTGGTGCATATCAGTATGTGTTATAATATCACTGATTAGATTACAGTAATTGTTCCAATATATACACGAAAGCCCCAAACACTTCTGTATCTGTATAACCACCCTTCGGCGTAACACACCAGCTTCGCAGCCACAGAGGCGGCACCAAGGCAGATGAACCACCGAACCACCTGTTACACCCAACCTTTGCACATCTAACTGCAGGAGTTGTTAACTGCTGTCTAGTGATGATGCCCCAACTGTGCTTGGTGGCAACAAGTTCCACTCTATGACAGTTCTTGGAAAATACGAGTTATTAACACCTCAGTTCTCAGTTCTTGGCTGACAACTCTGATATTTGAATATTTGAAATTCTCTGATATTTCTGATTTTCTGTCTGTTCTATGCCTGTTTACAGCAATATGGAGTTTGAGACCATGCTGATGATCCTGGCAGCAGGATACGGGCGGCCCATCCCGATCTACCAGTACCCGGGTGCTGGTGCACAGTGCGGGGCGTGCGGGGGCTGTGGCGGGTGTGGAGGGTGTGGGGGCTGCGGCGGGTGCGGTGGCTGTGGAGGGTGTGGCGGCTGAGACCCTCTTCTTAGTCCTTACTTATCTCCAAGCAGATCCTACGACGGCAGGACAGCATTGGCCAGAGGAGTGTCCATTAGCCACCAAAGGTCCTTCGGTGGCAAGGCAGTATCCATTGGCCAGAGGAGTGTCAATGTGATACTATTTTGCTAGTCTGGTTACCAGACCTATTTTAGCTCCCGAGTCGGAGTTCTGGAGTTTGTTATGAGGATGTAGACTCGGGAGCTAAAATAGGTCTGGTAAACAGGCTACTGTCTTGCCACCGTGGGATCTGCTTGGAGATTTCTTCTTACTTCATTGGAGGCACTTGGTAGCCTGGCTGCCGTGGTAGTTAATTTTTGCTAGCGCTTCTACATATACAACCCAGGTCTACATTGGAATATAGGAGCCCGGCAAAAATTGAAAGAACTAGGATGGCATTTTGTTGGGCTAGCAACTCAAATAGTGTTGCACAGTCTTGGGCTTATTCCACTGTAGTTACACTGTTTACGTGATTTGGGGAAAAAATGGAATTGTGTAAAACCCTTTCGTAGTAAACTACTGAACCTTTGAGTATAATTGTGAAGAATAGTAGCAACCTGCGGCTTCTGTGAAGCATAAGCCAGACTCAGACGGTGAATGTAACTTGACTCATAGTGTAATAGACTATTGATAGATGTCACTACATTTCTAAGTGTTTGTGATTGAGAAGGTGGACACAAAAGAGAGTATGACACAGTGTCATCGAGAACAATAAGCAGAACTTAGTTATGGAATGGTGTTCTGATGCTTTTCCTCCTACCCTAGGTGCCAAACTAGTATCGGGCCGTTGGCCATTTTCCTTCGGCAGCCAAGAGCACTTCGCCTGCCTACCTAAATTACTGCTACGGGGGAGTTGAGCCCGAGGAGAATTTGGCTGGCCCTATAGTTGTAGCGGCCCAAAACGAGTTTGGCACCCAGGGTATTTTCCTCCATATTTGTAACGTTTATCTGTAGCAGATATTGTTTTACCAACCGATTTGTGGTTGTTCAGTACACTTTTGGTAATATATCTGTGAATATCCTTTTCTGAACCTTTAGATATCTTGGATGTCCAAGTTATGACTGTATGTCAGGACAATGCCGCGTTGTGTTTGTACAATGCTGTATTGTATTTCTACATTGTGAAATGCTCTTCTAACTACAAATAACATTTGTCTCTAAATGACGTGACAGCTTCTACAAATGACGACAGAGAAAATGTTGATATATTTGACCTGGATACGCAATAGTTTTGTTGTATAGATTGATAAAGACAATTGTAGCAATGGGGTTAACGCTTTAAAATCATGGACTTTTTTACATTCTGTTCGAATAGATTGATGTATTAATATCGTACATTTCTTAATGCTGGGATTATTGTGATAATTATAAACTCATGGAGTGGCAGTGTTGTCATTGAAATATCACGTAGCTTTCTCCATGGTAGAGCCGTGTGTAACTTGTGTCCATTTATTGCTTCCTCATTTCTTTTAATCTTGTACAACTGTGATGCTACGGTGGTTGTCACAAGGTTTTTACTTATAATACTTCAGAATAACTTCAGAATCTATATCAGTGTTAGTGCCGCTGTACCCGCATCCCAAACTTGTCATCTTAGAACCATTCAGAGGATACTCTGCATAGCATCCGTATGCATCATTTTCCAACTATGACCATACAACTTATTCTAAATACCCAACACTTATAAACCGTTAGTGAGAAGATTCTGATGTAAACTAATGTTGGTATTTATAAAGTTGTATATATAGTAAGTAAATGTATAAAGGTGTCTTTAAAACAATTAGAACTTCCCATCCCATCATACTTTTCCTTAAAGATTCTTCAAAATTAAGACGCCTTTAAAATATAGTAAACCCTTCATCTAAAGCAAAATTTGCCATATTTTTATACTGCCAGCATTGACAGAACAGATTATGAAGAACGGTTATGCAAAAGCACAATCGACCATCTTTCACTTTCTAAATGGCCATCTTATGACACTGGAACTGTTTGCTAATTTTGGCAACGCCCCAGGGGCGGAGACATCACAGTACGGTGAGTAGCATCACCACAGTACGGAACGTTATCAACACCAGGGTGAGAAACGGACAGACGTGCCGGTTGGCGGCGGCCTCACCTCCACTAGCGTAGACCTGACAGGCGCTGGTCTTCGGTTGGAAAGGTCGGGTCATTGGTATGGGAGCTCTCTCTTCTCCCCGCGGCCATTGGCCAATCTTACAAAGTACAAACAGGAAGAGGGTTACACAACATCAAAAAATGAAGCTCATTCATTTATTGGATCAGGCCTACGGGGGATTGAGCAAAGCGAGAATTTCGTCTTGTTGCGAAAGAGACAAGCGCTGTCACTAGCTGAGATTGTTGTGAGGCTAGTGATTGTTAAAGGCATCAAATGCAATTTTTCAGGCCGGCAAAACTAGAAATATTCTAGATAAGGAAACGTGTCTGATCTTGATACCTACTGCCTTTTCATAGCGCATTTTCGTCATAATTTTATACTTTAAGCATTTAAAATAAGCTCAAAACAAGGCACGAGAGGCGTCTACGACACAAAACAAGCAACCAATTTTTAGCACACTTTCGTTATCATCTTATACCTGATGCGTTTGAAATAGCATTAATTAAAGCACGCTGTGTGAGGCGTCGACTCTTCATCTTTTGGGTACCACCAATAGATACCTAGAACCAGCGTACAATACAAAAAATGTAACCGTTTTTTTTCAGTGACATCAGATTTTTAGTCAACTTACTACATTGAAAGAATGGCCAAAAAATAGATTTGAACAGCCAGTTTTGCCACCCTTAAATTGCATTGGAATGCCTTTAAAATATGTAGTCAAATTAACAAATACATGTATGTCATGAAATATCGTTATACATCATAAACGTTGGCCGAAGATGACTCACCGGGACTTGGTTGTGTTGGTCCTCGCAGAAGAAGTAGTGGTTGGCCCGCAGAGCGTGGTCCTGGAACTGCCGCACCAGCCCGGCCGTCCAGTTCATGTTGTTCATGATCCACACACTGGACCTCCCCGCCAGATCGGACGGGGATTCTACCAGACCGTAATAACTAAAAAAACAAACAAACAAACAAACAGAGTATTTATTCATGAAGTTATGCATCCATTACAATGATCACATAATACGCATCATTTTTCATAAGAACCTACTCATGTAACACACGCATCTTGATGGACAGATAGGCAATTTTAAAGGGGCTTTATGTAACATTTTTGCACCAAAAAAAATGAAATATTTTATTCAAAGAAATATTTTTGTAAATGCCATGAATGTGTTTGAGTAAGAATTGACAGACAGACCATACGCGAAGGTAAACATTATGCATTCGCTGAACGCAAATGTTACCTTTCTAGTTTCTTTGCTTGGTTTGCAAAGCAAAATGAATGGTTAAAGTGGCGCACTCACCCCTCACGCACTGTCTCGACGCTCGCGAAGCGCAGTGTGGCGGCGTATGTCGGCATGGACACGCACTGCGTCAGGTCCAGCCGGGGGTAGTAGATGAGGAAGGCCAGACACATCTCACGGTACGTGGGCAGGCCGCCCTGCAGCGGGGGAGAACGTTCTAACGACTGTCCCGTACACAACATGCACGGGAGCCGTGGAGTCAATAACAGAAAATTTATTGCAAACATCAATTCTTTTAGAATTCCTTCAAAATTCTTTCAAATTTCTTTTATGATCGTGTAAAAGGATTTTAAAAAATCATAAAATTGTATCGTCTTAAAAAATCATAAAATTGTATCGTCTTAAAAAGCAAACCGAATTTGGTATACATAACAGAAAGGAAGGTCCAGTTTAAGCTCACCGAAGAGCTAAGATCCCACTGGTCATGACATAGAAGGCAGACGCTATGTACAGTATTTACATGTTTATTGTACTGGGGAAATTCCCCTAGCTCTTTTCGACAAGCACAATGAACAGTGGACCACAGCTTAACGTCCCGTGCTATTAAAGGTTTAGGTCCCTCCAACCGTACATGTATGAGACTACTTCTATTCTTGATACTAGACACCCTTAACATCAAAATGCAGATATAAAGTGAAAGTCTACACTTTACGCTGACACAGTTCTACAGATACTGCATAGACTTACAATGGTCACACGAGGGCGCTTCCTGGTCTTGTAGTCACATTCCGTGACAATGTAGTCTCCCTGAAAAACAAAATGACTTCTTAGTACTGCAGATCCGATACTGTAAAGCACAATCAATATCTTTGCAGAAAGGTAAGGTTGAAAAGTTACGATCTTTTAAAAAAACAACAATAGCCTACGATTTTCTTTTAACATAACGGGTAATGTTTCTCACCTACTTGCGTTTCTACGCCTGTCATCCTCCTCAGAGCTTCTGATTGGAGTACTGCTTCTCGCCGCTTTACGTAGGTGGCGCTTTTGCGGCGGGAAGATAATCCCAAACGTGGCTAAGTTTGTATCCCCCCTCGTCCCGATTGTTGATTGTGTTCTCACCGCAAAAGCGCCACATACATTGGCTACGCATAGCGACGAGAAGCAGTACTCCAGTCAGAAGCTCTGAGGAAGATGTCTGACAGGCATAGAAACGTAAGCTGGTGAGAATAACAGGCCTATATCATATGTTCCACCAACTTGATGAAATCATTTTCGGAAGAAGAATAACCTCATACAAAAGGTATTTAGGCTTTGCATATGCACCTTTCTAATCTCCACCGGATGACGGAGGTATCTTGTCTGTTGGAAGTTGAAGTCGTATGTCTCGTCCTCTGCTATTGGCGGAAGCTCGACCCCTCTCCGGAAGTGACGTGCCCGGATGGCCACGCCCGCGAGGTGGGAGTGAAGAATTCCACCAATCACCTTGATGGAGTCAACGTCGCGAGCCGCCATTTTCTAATCAACATGTAAATGTAACAACATACTTTTAGCTGTACCCTTACTATCTACATTGTAGGTGGGTTTCTATAGAAATAACTGAAGTAATTAATAAATCACGTAAAATAAAATAAATTCATAAAATACTACAACTACGTATTGGTATTCAAATGAAGTAAAGACCTTGAAATTTCTAATGTCCCAATTCCTCAGGTCCCAGAACAGATTCGACACAAACACACTATTTGCGCTACCGAAAACAATACTTCTGTATTACGGATTCGACACAAACATGCAAACACTCTATTTGCGCTACCGAAAACAATACTTCCGACGAACTATGAATTAATATGCAAATGAGTGAAGACCGTCAAAATGTCTCAGGTCCCAGAACGGATTCGACACAAAACACAT